GTCGATCAGAGTAGGCACTAATGAAAAGGTGCTAACAACCAGATTGCAAGCATGTGTGAATGATTTGTACCTGACAGGTATCCACGCCTCCTGAAAGGAATCCGGCACATAACATGTTATCTGTGACCCTGTAATACAGGAGGAGATTACACAACCGACTGCTGAAGATCAGAATTTCCGCCATCTGGAGGACACTCGCTGCATCATCTGAGAGACAACAAGATCACATCATGTAGAGCTTGTGGATGAATAACAAAAAAAATAGATTCTGTTTGTAAAAGTTTATATTAAACCAAACTACCTCCACAGATCTGCTCCCACTAACTACTCAAATGTTTGTCTTTCTCATTATTTTATTCAAACTCATCACTCTTCATCACTTCCAGTGTGGAAAGAGCTTTGAGACGGGCAGTGTTTCAGTGCTTCTTTATTATCATCTCACCTCCCTGCAGGGTAGTCCCCCAGCCGGTGATCCAAGCCTCTTGGTGTGAGTGGAAGTAGTAGGTGGAGGAAGGCAGGCAGATGGGTCTGATGTGCTGGGTTAGGCTGACTCTGGTGTCCAGCTCCATCAGAGCGATGTCATTGTCTTCATTGTATCTGTTGTAGTACCTGTGAGCGATGATCTGCTTCACACCCCTCTTTACTGTCCACTCATTGGTCTGGTTCTGCACATGGAGGCCTAAAAAGGCCTCCCATTGGTCAGCGTGAGAGAGCCTACATCAATAAAACAGACAAGGCTGTAAACAACTTCTTTAACCTCAAATCTGGAATTGAATTTAAAATAAAATACTGAATTGGATCAATGATTATTAGCTATTCAGTGAAAAGACTAACTGCCAGGGATTCTAACAGCTAGTCCTTTTACTGAATGGCTAATCATTTAAATTAATAAATGGATCGTTTTAAATTTATTTCTACATATATTTAACCCTAGTAAACCAATGGGGTCAGATCCGACCCCATTGGTTTACTAGGGGTTAAAGGCATCTTTACTTTTACGTGGTTTTAAACAAAGCATTAAAAGGATTGAGGAAAGACTTGCATAGCCTCTTGTTTTTCTTAGTATTTAATGATGGCACAATAAACTACCTTTTGCCTTTAATAAGTCACTTTTGTATAATTAGTTTAAATACTCTCCGAATTCTGTTGACACTGTAAAACT